GAAACTTTTCGGCACCAAGTGTCCAAACCGGAACGCATGTGTGTCGGAGTACCGGAAACCAGAAGACCAGGTGGCCAGGGCGCATGCACCAGAACCAGGAGAGCAGCTGGCGACAGTGCACGTGCGCACAGAGAGGGCTCTGTGTGCCACCTCTGGCACATGTGTCATAGGTTCGCCATCATGGTCCTATACCATTTCAGACAAGTCTCTCCTTAAAAACCTCCAGTGGTGAAGTACCCATAACTTCTGAAGGCAAGCTGTTGCACTGTTTAATTGTCTTACTGTTAAGAAGTTTCTCCTTAATTCCAGGTTGCTTCTCTCCTTAATTGGTTTCCATCCATTGTTTCTTGTCTTGCCCTCTGGTGCTTTGAAAAATAAGTTGACCCCCCCTCTTCTTTCTGGCAACACTCAAATTCTGGAATACATCTATCATATCACCCCTAGTTCTAAATACTGGAATACATCTATCATGTCACTCATATCCCTAAAATAAATTAAGGCAATTAAAAGATAAAATCAATTAAGACAGCAAAAGATACTATTTATCCAACTCTGAGAATGATTGCTATCATAATGAATAAACTAGTACAGTGTTTCTCTAAAAATTGGAGTAGTAAAAGTTTAAAAACTAAACTGTCTTAATTAAAATAGTTGAGTCAAAGATGGGTAACCTTTTAATGATTAGGTCACCCAACCTTCATAGGTAAGCTATGTATTTTAACCTTCATAGGTAAGTGAAGCCATGTATTTTGTATTTTGTATTTTTCCTTAATTTTGAAGGGTGATATTGGGGTATTACTGTAAAAATATTCATTTTATTAATCCTCTTTTATAATATAGCTGCAATCTACCTCTTTCAGCTTTAAAGTAGTGGGAAATGGTTGTTCAGTAGCCAGAGATATCATTCATACATTATATAGAGACTTTAGGTTGCTGTCCTTGTGCTAGATGAAGAATTTGGGCTATTGGGTTTACTATGTTTCCATCACTACTAGAATTCTGGATTCTTTATATGTATACTGCTGCCAGGGCTGTTCATTAAATTATACATACACAAAACTATTATTCATCCCACATTTTTTTAATTTTATGGGGTCATAGTACAGACCTAGTATGATGTAGTAACTTGAATGAATTGTGATTTTATCTGCTGGAACAAATGGACTTTGAAATCCCTGTCATCAGTTAGTCTATGTCCCTATGAGTTGTCATCCAGCAGGTCAGTTTTCTTCTTTAAAAGTACCACAGTTGGAACTTTACAAATACAGTTTCTGATAAGACATCTGGCAGCTTATATCTCCAATTTAAGTTAAATTCAAACCAAGTTTTATCCTCAGTTCTCCAGAGCACTGGAAAAGCTTCAGTAGTAGTTGCTGTTGAATGAGATAACTTAAGCCATTTGTTTGAGATGGGAGAACAGGGAGAATCCTTGTTGCCTCTGTTCAGCAATAAATTGAAAAACATCAGCCTTATTTTTCCCCAGATCTTTCACAACCCACTTTAAAGAGCCTAATCTACTCCACAATAAAAGGAGTCCTGTTAATAACAGTAGATCTGACATTTCCCATAGCATATATTCTGTATGAAATTTCTGATGTAAATTCATAGTTATGTAAACTCAGAAGTAAATGTTATACTTTCTATAAAGTATGTTTAAAATTGTAGCCTCTGTAGTACACATATTTATGCAAAGTCTGTCTTGATTACAGTATGCCAAAAGGAACTCACTCAATAAATATTCTGATTGCTGCAGGATATGATTTAACACAAACCAGTTTGCCCAGTTAGAAGTGTATTCCATTCCACAATGTCCAACTGGAACCTTCTTTCTTGAGGACTGTTAGAGTGCTGAATGCTGATACAGTCCGAAACCTGGTTTAAATATTTTGACACAAGCTTCCTCAAATTTCCTTTACTAGATCCTCAGTCTCCCTCACTGCAGCTACCCTCCTCACCCAAATAGTAGCTATAGGCCATGTTTTGTATGTATCTGCAATCCTCAGTCAGAGAATACTATAGTATTCTTTTGAGGTATGATATATTTTTATGCCGAAGAATGTTTTAAAGACCAGGCTTTAGGAGAGAGTCGGTTCCAATTTGGAATAATCGCTGAAAGCCCATCTTGCCTACAGTTCAGTTGGGCAAGTTTTGGGTTTGCTTTTTTGGGGGGAGGAGGACCATAATATTCAATAAAATGTACACCCAAGCAAGTGTGTATCCAGGTCTGTCACAACACGCAATCCCCTTTATATTCAAATATGTTTGCAACCCTCTCCAGCAGATGCAATTCCCGTATTCGAAAGGACTTGCGAGCGGCAAATCCAGTAATAAAACGGCTTGCAAACGTTTTAAATCATAAATTGGCCAGCAGAGGGCAACACGAATCCAACGTCTATTCCCCAGCCGGATGTGTCGTCAAAACAGAAGTTCCGTTTCCGATATACGCAATTTAGCCAAGGTAAGGGAGGGTCGGTTTTTGCACTATTATTTATTTATTTAAGAAGCTCCCTTTTTTCTGTTCTGGTTCGTTGCGATAGCTGGGATCTGCAGTATTAACTACAGAAAAAACGACAGCATAGTTATTTTAACATGGAGAGGACGAAAGTGCATTTGTTCAAGAAGTAAAATCACTGCAGGGG